GAAAATAATACCTATTTTTGAAGATAACATCAATTTTAATATTTCCGAATATTAACCGAAGAATCATTCATTGTGACACTGTTATATCGTATATTATCGTTTGTCGCGAATAAAATAAAAATCCATATTATTTCCCCTCGACAACACGATAAAGGAAACAGACATGTCGAACAATTTCCTATAACGATATATGTCTACTTACTTATTTGTGAAACACTATTTAATGAATAAAATAAATTTTTCTAAAACTGAGAGCCGACTGCGGCAGCTATATCTCAGGAGCTAAGCCTTTGAGAACATACATTTATTAGACTTTTTATTCATTTTTTTATGTATAATCTATCCTGTCCATGGAATTAAATATACACACTCTGCATATATAACAGATGACTGTGAAATATTCGCGCGTGCGAGCAGCTTATTGCGTAGTAAAACGGTAGCTCGTGTCAATTGCGAAGAAACGAAACAACGTTATCAGCGAGTCGCACAAAAGCGATTCGACTCGAGAGAGAAAGAGAGAGAGAGAGAGAGAGAAAGAGGGGAAGAGAGAGAGAGAGAAAGAGAGGGACGCGTTATCGGTCTCGCGCAAGGCCGCGAGAAACCGCCTGTCCGATAACGCTCGCGAGCTTCTCTCGTTATATTACATCGCGAGAGCGGAATCGCCCGCGCATTTTTTCACGGCACTTCGGTACCCGCGATCCACTTTGACTTTCATGAGCCGGCCAACCTAATTGCCCGCGTCAATCACAGTCGAAAAAAAAATCTACGAGGCGCTGCGGCGGCAAAAAGTGCAAGTCAGCGCGTGCGAGCGCATATCTTCACGGGAATCTCACGGTTAATCTATTTGCGAGGATTAATTCGCGGGCGATTTATTCCGCGTCGTGTGCCACGTGCGCTCGAAGAGAAATTCGCTATCGACGAATCAATTAATCCTTCTCTTTTAACGTCGCGTAGGCACGCGCGCGGGCATTAATCCGCGAGTGTCCAACGAGAGCGATCAGACATTCGCTACGCCGAATTATAACGCTGATTATGAAACAGACGTGCAGCGTGCAAATGGAGGATCACGGTACTGCCATCCAGCCATCAGGACGGAAAAGGTGAAACAGTGACCGCCTCTTGGCGGAAGACGTGACAAAAAATGACCTCTCTGACATCAAAATAGCGACCAAAAGTGGCATTTTTATCGTCAATTTCTGAAAGTAACTAAAGCCATTTAACCCATTTAAGCAAAGAAAAAGTAATATTTACTCTTATCTTTTCAGGTCATTTTTTAACAACATATAGCGAGTTTTTTTAGAACGGTTTGAAAGTTCATAAGAAGAAAAGACCAAGGACATAAACGATGCAATGCTAGTACGCTCTCGAAGCAGCTTTACGAAGAGAGACAGCAAATATATGCACAAGGTGTTCTAGATATATCAACATGGATAAACGGAGGATATAGAACGGATTGAGAGGAACAAAAAAGTCCGGTTGTATTGAACAAAAGAACGCGCCAAATTTCGAGTTACTAATAATTGAAAATGGCCATGTATAGAGGGGGACTTCTTTAATTAATAACTCAAAAGTTTGCCTGTTGTTTGCAAAAAAAAAACGGTAGAGAACTTCTTTGTTCACCTCAATCCGTTCTACGCCTTCAATAAATTGGTCCATATTGATCTGAGATTTACCTCTGCAGAACGTCGACATTTTGCAAATTCGACGGCAATTCCGGAAAAAAGTGACTATATAGTGACTTATTTTGGACGACAGTGGGTTTTCTAGCGACTTGTGAAGAAAAAGTGTGACGAAAGATAAGCTAAGTGACTGTAGCGCTGGGATCAGCCGGGACGCCGATCAGCGCGGAAACGAAACGCGAGGAGAAAAAGGCGGCGCGCGACCTACTTTTCCGCGCGGAGCGTGCGCGCCGGTTATTAGGGGGCTGTTTGGGAGGGTCGAGGCTCTAAGTTAGAGGAGCGGACGTGGGAAGCGGCAAACGTGTCCTGCCTACCCTTTTCGTCGGCTCGTTAATTTCCTCCCTCGCCCTGCGCGCGCGCGCCGCAATGTGCGCGGAAATGTAAACGGCCACGATTTTCGGGGAAATCGTCGTACACGACGTAGATACGAATCGGCCAACCCTCCGCCACCTCCGCTCCTGTTTACCTACGAGGATCCCTCGACATCGCGAATACAATTTACGAGCGGCTACGTGTATCGCAAACTCGTCCGGCTTTCTCCCTCTCTTTTTTCTTTCTCTCTTGGGACTGCACAGACATTCGTCCGTTTTTATTTTAATTCTCCATCGAGATATCGAGATCGATAATTGATGCGTTATCGCGCGATACATGGAGGTAACGAAGCCGAGGAAGGACGAGAGCGGCGGCTCGGTAGTGATTAGAATGGGAGTAAAAACGTTGTAAAAACGAAATTAGATCGCACGGAGACCCGGCTTGTGAGCGCAGCTGCGCGTAACTACGTGTTACGAAAGCGAGAATTTCTCAGCGGGGCGGTTTTCCGAAAGTTCGCGGAAGAGAATGTCGCGAGAGGACGCGAGAAGAAAGGCGACGGATGGCGCCCGGAGAGGACGGTAACGCAGGTGAGGAGACGCGTCATAAAAATGTACGGAGTGTTTCGCCTAAGAGGAGGAAGAAAGTTCCCCAAACTGGCGCCGTCGCTGCAAGCCACGACACACGTGAGAAACTTCGAAACATCTTTATTAGCCGGCGTCCGCACCGCGCGTCGCACGGACGACTTTCTTCGTCGTCGCGTGTACATCCATAGACGTGTGCGAATTATTCAGATTTTTAACGATAAGAACATTTTCAACGATAAGAAAATGTTTAACGATAAAAATCTTTAACGATAAGAAAATTAAAAATTACATTTTCTATTTGAATATATATCTTCATTTATACTCCTTCTTAAAATTCTTTGGTATTTATGCACTCTCTCACGATAATCTAATAAAAAACAAACGTTATTAATTTAATTATCGAAAAACGAAGTCCAAGTAAGTCTTGTAAGCCGATAAGTGAATTAAAAATACTCAATTTATGTAGACGGAAATTAAAAGCGTTACAATGAAAACAGAAATTAAAAGCGTTACAATAAAAACAGCAATTACCAGAAGAACAGCACACGTCTTTGCTTCCACGGATTTCACCTTTCCCTTTTTGTCTCATACACACACATATATATATATATATATGTATAAACACGTACATATACGCGCAATGCCAATAACCGTAACACCTGCGAAGCTACAGAGGCACCTTTGCTCACTCCGTGCGTTTCCGCTGCGCGATAATTTCTATTCCCGACGCGCGCGGAGTCGTCGACGCGAGATCGTCGCGGCGTTTTTCGCCGCGGATTAAAGCCGGTTGTTTAAGAGTAAACAACGGGGGGCCCGGCAGCGCCGGGATTTGCGCGCGCGGTAGGAAACAAAATATTTGATGAAATAATCAGCGTCTCGAAAAATCACGGCGCGCTCCATGATTTAATTACAAAGGTACTCTTTTCTCGAGAATCCGGAATAAACTTGGAGGCGTTTACAGTGTAACCGGTATATTTGCCGGTGTGCATCCGCCGGCTCTTTTTTATTATTTCAACGCCGTACGCGCGCGCGAACCGGCGCTCGTGCGGTTTGTTTTTCGTGCGACGTAACTACGCGCGATATTGTGACGTAACGTTCCGAAACGTCGGCGACTCTACGTCGAGCCTTAATTACTAACAGTGCGGTTCCGCTACGTTTCCCACAGTGGCACGTTTTATTGTTTCAACATTTCACGAAGTTATCAAATAAACAAATGAAATGGCAGTTTAGAGGAGCGAGAAAGGATTCATTCGTTCGGTCGTGTGCGCAGAGAGATAAATTTTGGAAATTTCTATCACGAACGGAGCGCACGAGCTTTAAAGCCCGGTCCGCGATAGTTACACGCGATTAGCGTGAACGTCACTGTAATTAAAGAGTCAAGGGAGCTGACAGTTTCGACCAGTGGCGCGAGAATATCGCAGGACTTCCCTCTCGATTATTCTGTTCGAACGCATGTCTAATCCTCATGTGTCGCTTTTTAAGTCGGGAAGAAAAATGAAAATAATTTTTTTGTTTGGAATTTTTATGCAAACTGACGATGAGGATGAATGAAATTATTTGCGAGAGCAGCACGTGTATGCGCGAAGAAAAACGCGAGAGAACAAAAAAACGACCTTACGTTTAACTCTGGCGGCAACATGTTAGATTCACGAAGCCTATACGCGTTTCCCTTCGTTCATCTCACCCTTCCACGTTTTGCGCAAAACGCTATATCCCGCCTTTATTACTCTATTGCTCAAAAAAGTTGGATTCATGTAACCACTGCTCGATCCAATAACTGGTTTCATGGCGACAGCCAAGTTATAAGGACAATAATATAAAAATTGATAATAAACTATTTTGTATCGTTTTTTACAGATAATGAACTCATTAATTACAATTTTTAAGTTTCGGTAAAAAAATGGAAGCTTTCCCCATATTTCCGCGAATTTTCTCGGTTCCCAAGAATGTTCCTACAAAAATTCGTTTAGAAAAATCCACGTGCAATCGGTTAAAATCTGTCACGTTTACTTTTTTCCCGTAGAGAGAATAAGAAGCCGAGAAGAAATCCGTGGAAAAAGTGGGAGAAACGGTTTTTCCCGAAACTTTCAAGCCACTCTCTAAATTTCTTGGAACGAGTTCTCAGTCCGAGTGGCAGAGTGTTTTCACTCTAACCTGAAACTCACTCCGAGAAATTAAGAGAACATAAATCTAACGATTCATAAAATCCCCGAAAAACGCAAAAAACCGATATTTCCTTGCGATTTCTTTTGTAACACCTGAGAGACCTGTGTTACCTGACGTCATTTCAGCGTACAAGAACGCGGATGTTACTCTCCGAGTCAAAAAGCGATGCGCGAACACTCGTCGGATTAATTTGCCGCGACTCGCGGAAAATTTCCATAGTGTCGTGTCGGCGCGTGTATGTATGTATGTTTGTACTTACGCGGAAGGTCTGCTGGTGGCGTGCCTCTCGCGTTCTGAAACAGAAAAATAACAGCGCCAATTAGCGATCGGTGTGCATCAATTATCGTTCGATTATCAGCGTTCAAGGACGGCATGCATTGTGCCGGAACGAGGCTCGGGCATACCGGCACGCCGACTTGTTAATCATCCTGATAATACGATATATATATATATATATATATATGTGTGTGTGTATAGCAAGACTTTTCGCCGCTGTGACCCGGATCGCGACGCGGTCTCGGAGCGGGATGCGAACGAGGGGAGCGGTTAACGACCTTGATGTCGACGAAAAGAAACTCCGTCAATCGGTTGACGAGGTAGAATATAGGTTGATATATGTAGGCCGGAGGGGGAGGTAGGTAAGTAACTCAGACAGGTAAGTAGATAACTAACACATAGGTAGGGGCACGAAGAAACGTTTTGTCGTCGGCGCGTAACTGGTCGGCGGGACGTTCATCGAGACGAAACGCCATTCTAATAGAACCGTCTGCCGCGAGGGATCGCCTTTAGAAATTCGACGACCTGCTTGGCTGCGGCAGAAGTGAGCGGGTCCGCGAGAAGCGGAGGAAGTAGCGATGAAAGGAAAAGGTGGAAGAGAGCAGGGCCGCTCGGCGAGGCAGCGCGTAAACAATGGCGTACACGCAACGCGTAAGCGCGCGAGAGCACGTCATGGGAAAAGGCTCCGGCTGCATGTTCGCGGTATACGGGAAGGGGAGGCAGAGGGTGCGCGGGGTTAAATTCGAAATAGAGAGGGCTGAATGCCGGCGACAACTGTATGCTCTCTCTCTCTCTCTCTCTCTCTCTCTCTCTCTCTCTCTCTCTCTCTCTCTCGGCATGTCCCTAGCTTTTTAGTCAGCGAGGACTCCCGCCGTTTCAACGCGCCGTATTACCACTGGTCTCTCGTTTTGACGTCGAGGTGCGTGTCTCGATGTGATTACGAGGAACGTCGCGACAGCAAGAAATAAGTCGAGGGAAAGCGGAGAATTCGTTTCCTGCTTCTGTCTGTGTGTACACGCAGAACATTTTTCCCGAAAATATACAAACATTCATGAACCGAGAGGGTACCGTAGTAATCTTGTTCAGGTACAGGATATGCTTATAACGTCGGCACAATTTCAAGGCAGTGTGGGGAAACTTAGAAAGCAAATAGAACAAAGCTGTGTGCGGAAGTCATTATTTTCCAAGAAGTATGCGGGATCTCTTTTCAAGTGACGTTTTCGTCAATTTAAGTATATTTTAACAGCTCACGGTAAACACTTGAGCGCAGTAATACCTTAATTGGTAAATGTAAAATGGTTCTAAATTTGAGAGAGCATTTATTAGAATTACGTAATGCTTCTTTTCCACTGAAGAAACCTAGTCGGTTTTTATTATAATTTAGAGATATTTCCAGAATAAATGTTTCCTAAAAATAAATTTTGATATTACCAATATTATGAATTTAATACCCACTTATTTTTAACACATACAATATACTATATTTTAACACATAAAATATCTATCCATAAGAAGGAAATATTCTATTATACATGGTCAATTACATTCCTATTTCTAATAAATACTTGCCAATATGTATTGGAATAACCATTTTACTTGGATCAAATGTTATTTACACGGCAGCACTTTTTCCAGCGTGCATGCGTGCGTGCGTGCGCGCGATAAATTTGCATGCTCTCTCCGAAAATCGGCATCGAATCGTTGGGCAAATTATTCGTCTCTCGCGTTACGTGAAATAACGCGATGTAATAAACGTGCCGCGTATTTTTCTCCCCGTACGTATTTTCGCGTACAAATATATATCTTTTTTTAATATAAACGAAAAATAGGTTCGGTATATATTATCATCACATTATCACACGAGGGCGCGCGGGCCCGTCCGTCAAATAATTCACTCGCAATCGAGGAAACTCCCGTCGAGTTGACGCGGTTAATGTCAATAAACGATTGTGCAATCATACGCTGCGCCACTTATTATTCATCGGCCGTGATGGCCGTCGTTTCAACAATAGGTACGAAATTATCCCGACCTTCCGCCGCCTGATTATCAAATTCGCCGCGTTGCGATCTACCGATCGGCTCTGCGCCCTATCTGCGGGTAACTGCGATCAATCAGCGGCGCGCAGGTGGCATCGCCGCCGCGCTTCCCCCCTTCCTTCTTTCTTGACACCAGAAAATAATTGGCGCCCAAGTATTGCGCGAGGCCGTTGCGTATCTTGTCAGCGTGTCGCGTGCGCGTCATTAACCCAGTCGGACAAACTGAATTTGATTGGCGTCGCAACTTCATTTAACCACTCTCGATCGGGAAAGTTTACGTCGCTATGACTTTCACAACTGTCCGTGCAACAGCAGCCGGAAATAACATATGTTACGTTAATTGCGAAATAATTCGATGGAAACCCAATAACGAAGAGGAGAGGATTATAATAGAGAGAAAGAAAGACAAACTTCGTATTCACACACACACACACACACACATAGAGTCCAGCCGAACACTCAATAAAGAGTTCAACCTTCCGCTGTTTTGCGGAAAAGAAGAAAAGGTAAAACTTCGACGCAACGAATGAAATCAATAATATCGGCAATTAGCGGAATTGGATCGTGGGACGAAATTAGCTCCGATATTATCATTCCGAAATGCGCGGAATCGCTCGGCTTCCGCGCGCGGATCGTAAATAATTCGGCGGCTCGGATTCGCATCCGACAACAACAAACGCCGAATCCGGGCGAATTCGTCGGCAGCGAGTCTCGCGGGGTGATCTCGCGAACCGGTCCAGANGGGGGGCGCGCCGGGGGGTGGGGGGGGGGGGCGAAGCGGACAAGAGACCGACCGACCGACAACGAGGCGGTCTGTCATTAGCAGCCGCAGATAATCATCGAGATTCGAAATTTGCCAGGCGGCGTTCTCCGGCCGCGTAACAATGTTGACATCGAGTCGCGTGTAGCGCGCGCGCGCAACAATGCGCCGTGGTAAATTCATCGAGTAGAGTTATCTCGGGAGTGACCGGCGAGAAGCAGCGGTCGACTACCGCGCACTGATCGATCCGCGCGAATTGGACACGACGAGCGAGCGAGTCGGTTCGACTCGATGCTGCGCACCTGATAACAGAAGATAGCTGACAGCGCCCTGAAGCAGCTCGAATCTGCTGAACATGACTTATCGCCCGCGTTGCCGCCGTCGTTGTTCTTGTTGCTGTTGTCGCTGCTCCTGTCTCATGTTACTCGTGCTCGCCGCGCGTAAAGCACGATTCATCGGCGCAGCGCGGCGCCGCCAGCCGGATGCTGCATCGAGACTTCTGTGCGCTCTTCGGGGCGCCCTTTCACGCGCGCGGCACGTCTGCCCCGCGGATCGCCGCCTCTATCGCGTCCGATTACGCGCGGGAAACGACGACCCCCGCCCCGCTTTTTCGCGATTCAATTAGCTCGAGAGCTCTTCGAGAGTTCGCAGAATTCGTGGGGAACTTCCGCGAAGGGCTGATCCAACTTTCGCGATCGCACTCGTCGTCGTCGTTGCGAGTTTGCGCCGGGCGTCGTGATCACCGGCACGAAGAGGTTTTCTTCTCTCTCTCTCTCTCTCTCTCTCTCTCTCTCTCTCTCTCTCTCTCTTTCTGTTGCCGATCAACTGGTTCTCCCAAAGTACCGGGCTGAATCCTTCAAGCGTTTCTTCAGAAACTAAGCTTGCGAATTATGAAATGACGTCTCTCCTCACGTATCAGAAATAAGAAGGCACTCGAGGAATTTATGAGAAAAAGGAGGGAGACACTAATATATAAATTTGTTGTACTGATATCCTGAATTGTTCACTCTTTCGCTCTCGTGCGCTTCTCTATGGCATGCCATTGCCCATTCAACCTTTTTCCACTGTAACGATCACGCACTTTTCGCCCATTCACCTCACTGGTTCTGCTTATTATTATTATTATTATAACCATCTTTATACAATATGAATAATATTTGTAACTACGATCAAAGGAATTTATCCTAAAGCGCCAATAACTCTCTCTCTCTCTCTCTCTCTCTGGCTTGCCGTTGCTCTTTTGACCTTTCTTTGAGCCTAACTGTAATTATCACGTACTCTTATTTATCTCACCGGTTCTGCTACGTTACAAGATTATTATCATTATTATTATAATCATCTTTTCATATACGGTTAATGCTATTGGTAATCGTTACGCTCGAGAGAATTTATCCCAAAGTGGCAAATAAATAAAACGCTCTCTCTCTCTCTTTCTCTCTTTGTTATCGCGATCACGCGCGCGGATTACCGCTCGTTATCGTGCGTCGTGCCACAAGTGATCTTATCTCGACGCACTGCTGGAAAGTAGCCGCGATGTCTACGCCGTACGTACAAACGGAGCATTCAGCGGGCTCGGATACAAAGCTCACATTATCCGCGTAGCGCCGGCGAGGCACGAACGAGCGAGCGAGGAACACGTTCCGAAGCGTCGCGAGTCGGGAATTCCGCATCCACGGCGCCGCGGGAGACCTCGGCGCGAAGTTTTCTTCAAGGTTGCGGAACGTCGGCGGAGGCAACCATCTCCCTAGTGGCAATAGCGCGAAACGCATATTCCCTGAATACGCGAACTCGCTCCGATATCGGGAGCAACACTCCGCCGCGAGTAAAACAGATGCCGCGGGCGAGCGTATATCGGCAAGGTCGTAAAATTGCGAGCCGCGCGCGATCTTCGGCCGAGACCTTCGACGAGCTCTCTTCCCGCGAACTTCGGCGCGCTTCGTTAAAACTCGCGTCGAAAGTTGCGATTAACTTCTGGCGGAAGGGAGAGCCGCGCGATATCGCGGCACGAGAGGACGGCGCGAGAGGAGGAGGGAGAAAAAGACGAGGGAGAAGAAGCGAGAAAGCCCCCGGACTCGCTCCTCAGGGTCGTTCGTTTCAGCAGCCTCGCGAACGGAAGGTGGCTCGCATCGGAAGCGCAAACACGCCCCGAGCTCTCACACGTGCGACTGACCCGGCTAAATCCGGACGGGAAAGGCTCTTCGGGGTCACTTATGTACACCC